ATATATATATATATATATATACACACACACACACACACACCTATAATATATATATAGGTGTGTATGTTTTTGAACACAAAACTTACAAGGTTACAGTCATACACGATTAAGTTTGCCGCACAGAAGTTTGAGATCTTTCTATAATTGTTTGTTTAAGCATAAAGCTACATAATGGGCAATCTGTGCCGTGCTTACTGTGAGAATATCAAAATCTGATTTTTAGCATTATAATCTTACAGAATTATCAGACTAGCTAAGCCACCTGGGGTGCAACTTTTGTGTTCATGGACATATATAATACAACATTTGAAAAACAATACAGTGTTCCTCATAATTTTTACTGAGGGCAGAAATAAAAGCTAACATGTTGCTGCACTATATGAATACAAGTTTAAGATGAACGTGGAGAAAATTGTAATTACAAACATATTTAACAGTAATTAGCTATACTCTGGAGTATCAACTTTTTTTCCTCTTTCCCTAAGCAGTTACTTTCTGAAATAACAGATTATGTTTACTGACCAGTGTCATTTAAGGTAGAATCTTCATGTTGGCAATTCCACATGGTTCCAAGTAAAGGGTTATCAGTCACCAACTCGTAAGCCCCATTAACAAAGTTTCCTAATTATACAACAGAAAAGAAAAAAAATCAACAAAATAAATTTAACCTTAAATTTCCTAAACATATCATCAGTGAAGATATAATTGAATATTTTGACCTTACACTAGTGAGGATGTGTAATAGGGTTTACAATATTTCGACCCTATTTCCTACATCAAAGAAACTCTGATTTCACGATATGTACAATCTCAGCTTTTAAATGGATTAGTAGACAAATAAGCAAAAATAAAACCTTTAAATTACAGTTTTAACCATGACATCCGATCTTCCTTACCGTACAGCTTTGTAAAGTGATTCCCCCAAGGATAGCTATCTTCATGATATTCTTCCCGAATAGCCAGTGACAACAAACTTCTTTTCTTGACATAAATACTGAAAGCATACATTAAAATATAAGCAGCTGAAATAAAACCAAAAAATACTACTATATTGACAACATTAAATAAACAAGAAATTAGGTCACTAGTAAAACAATTTTAAAAATGTCTAACTTTATGTTTAAAACCCTTATGGCAGATGATGAAGCCATGTCTTAGTACTACAAAATAATGGTTTTAAATACTTTTTAATTTTAGCTTTGTCAATATTACATTAATTTTCTTCGTACACTGCCTATTTACTTCACTTATGCATAAAAAATTACATAAATATTTTATTACCAAGATTATATGATAAGCTTACAATATTGCATTTTGTTATTTTAGAAGCACTTTATTTCTACCTAATTTGCACCGTGTTTAAAATCACACGAATTCCTTTCAATTTGTTTCACGTACGGCACAAATTTGGCGTAAAAAAAAACCCCATACACATGGAGTAGGTAGGTCAAGTTCAATATGTTTACTTCAGAAAATAAACCGCTTTCTTTTTATACAAAAATAGGAGTACAAATGTCCTCATGAATTGATCGTAGAAAGATGCAAATGAAACAATTAGCACAAACAGTGAAATAAAAAGATTATAGGGTACATCAGATTATTATTCTGGGCGAGTCTTTTCAATAAATGGTAGCAGTAAATCATTACATGGTTAGTTTCTTTAAAGCAGTATAAAAAAAACTGCTACTTACAGTGGTTACAGTTTATTACTTTTATTGTAATACATTTAGCGTGGAGTTTGTTTGTAAGGTGCATGATGATCCATTTAGAAGATGGTTTGTATTAATTTTCAATGTATATTTTTTGTTATTTGCACCTTCATCAAGATTTAATATTTACCTTAAGTTGCAGTTACTTTTACTCATTTTTGGAAAGTTCTGTCCTAAAACTCTGACAAACTTTTATATCACTTACAGCACTATATTGATAAAATTGCCTTTAACAGGTTTTTTCATTTCTTCAAGACAATAAAGATTTTTTTTTTAGAAAATTACTCTCTCTTTTTTTTTTTTTACATATACATATGTACATACATATTTTTTTTCCAAAACTGATTATACTAATTGTTAAAGTGACACACACACATATATATATATATATATATATTTCCAAAAGGTGAACCACCGTAAAATAACCTTACAATTAAAATTGTCTCATACACCTCTTAAGATTTAATTAATTATATTCGTTATTGACCTTGGACTGTTTCAAAAATGGGAGTATGCATTTATGATTATATCATTAACTGTTAAAATAATTATATAAATAATTGTTATAACATGAAATACTTTAATAGTATAATGACTTATTAGAAAACAAAACCTTTAATATTAGTAATATTTCTTCAGTTAATATATATATTTAAAGGATGCAATATTTTCTTTAAAAAAATTTAAGAACAAAATTATAAAATTTCTACTGCTACCTGTATCTTAAATATTTTGTTCCTAGTGTATGGTTTTAATGTGGTCTCTCATATACAATCTCAAAATCAAACTTGAGAGAGAACTGTACACTAAACAGTGTAGTAAATTTAACTATTACACTTAAAACACATGGATCATTAGCACGAACAAGTTTCCCACTTGTAAAAAAAAAAAGTTAGCATTTTTATTTAATACCATTTACAAATCATTAAAACTCATAATAACAGTGCATCCAACTTACCTACTTAGTCGACACAGAACACGTATCCAACCTAAAAATTTTTCCCTGTATTCAGCTCGATCATCATCTTCTGGACTGTAATCATGGATCACACAGACATGATGTTCACTATTTGGTACACTAAAAACTGCCTTTTCTAGTTCTTGTCTGTCATACTTCTGAAATCATATTATCTTTCTAAACATCAAGCATGCCTCAAACAACCATCATTTGAAAAAAAAAAATTGTTCACTATTTGGTGCACTAAAAACTGCCTTCTATAGTTCTTGTCTGTCATACTTTTGAAATTATAATATCTTTCTACACATCAAGAATGCTTCAAACAACCGTCACTTGAAAAAAAAATTAATTGTTCACTATTTGGTACACTAAAAACTGCCTTTTATAGTTCTTGTCTGTCATACTTTTGAAATCATAATATACTTTCTACACCTTAGGAATAGCTCAAACAACCGTCACTTGAAAAAAAATTTTTTCACTATTTGGTACACTAAAAACTGCCTTCTATAGTTCTTGTCTGTTATACTTTTGAAATTATAATATCTTTCTACACCTCAGGAATGCTTCAAACAACCGTCACTTGAAAAAAAAAATTAATTATTCACTATTTGGTACACTAAAAACTGCCTTTTATAGTTCTTGTCTGTCATACTTTTGAAATTATATCTTCCTACACCTCAGGAATGCTTCAAACAACCGTCACTTGAAAAAAAAATTAATTGTTCACTTTTAAGAATCATAGTATCTTGCTAAACATCACAAATAACTCAGACCACCACCAATTAAGAAAAAAATTAATTCTGTTTCTCAATTCAAAAATTAAAATGATCATAGGCTACAGTAGTACATGAAATAAAGTAAAAAAATGTAGACCTCTTTTAAATCTAACAAGAAAAAAACTAAAACATTTTTAGTTGATAAAATGATGAAAAACTATACAAGAGAAAAAAAAAAAAGATCTATTAAGCACTTTTTAAAACAGAATTTGTTCTCATGATATACATTAAGTGATAAGAATTGGTTTTGTTTGTTTTGAATTTTGTGCAAAGCTACACGAGGGCTATCTGCACTAGCCATCCCTAATTTAGCAGTGAAAGACGAGAGGGAAGGCAGCTAGCCATCACCCCCCCCCCCATCAACTCTTGGGCTTCTCTTTTACCACAAAACAGTGGGATTGACCATCACATTATAATGCCTCCACAGCTGAAAGAGCAAGCATTTTTGGTGAGATAGGGATTCAAACAAGAGACCCACAGATTATGAGTTGAGTTTCCTAACCACCTGGTTAGAAGTGAGAAGAAATGTTTTTTGTCACTTTAACCCTCCGGATTTGGACAGATCAAAGTGTGCATATTACATTTTAAAATTGATTAAACAACTTTATTATCAATGTATATCAACAAATACAGTATCAAAATATAGTTCTTAATTCAAATTTTAATATGTTAACTTCATGAAAATGTATTTAAATGAATTTTCAAACTGCACTTTCTGTATCATACAACTTTTCTTTGCCCTGAATTCTCATTTTAGATTTTCTTTCTACACTTATACTATAGATCTGGTTAAGACATTATGTAAATTTATAGCCCCTAACTTCGTTTTACCGAGATATATACAGGAAAGTCAAACTCGCATACCACACTTCTCCTATGTCATTCAAAAAATGTCAGTAATTTTCTCTGACATTTGCTACTGGATTATTTATAACAATAGAAAGAGCAGACTCTGCTTTACAATATTTGTTATGAGGCTACATTGTTTAGACACCAGGTTAAAAAATATTTAGCCTGTTTCCTTTTGTGATGTTCAGCTTGACCAACTAACAGAATTATTAGCTACGGCATAGCGGCTCATGGAATGGCTTAGTTTTTTTTTTCATGTACAAACTTTTAGCTCCTAGCTCCATCTCTTGACCAATTTGAGATCTAATTACAGCTGTGGCTATTGAGGATTCTCTCGTTTTCAACCTATTTACAGCGTAACTAGAAAGTCAGTAAATTATGCTAGTTTTAGGATATTCTATTTTTCATGCATGATAAAGCTTTGTGTTTAACACTGCTTGTCCAAAATAAAAATGAATATTTTTGACTACCAACATCGTTACAAAACACGTAGGCCTATAGGTAGGTCAGCCAATGGTAGAATGTTTGGGTTCAGATGTAAGTGATAAATTTCTTGTTTTCCATAGCTCTGTTTTATTTATTGTTATAAAAGTAGCTAAACTGTAAAAGCTAAACTTAATAGGTTAGATAAAATTTAAAAATTAAAACAAAAATTGAGTAAAAGACTTCTCATGATACTCAATTTCCTAGTATGAGTACATCCACAATACCTGATTGTACTTAAATCCCAGGATGCTTGCAACCCAATTGTTTGTTTATACAAGACTGTCTGACTATAAGAAATGGCTTTTGAAATACTCCGAGAGGGTGCAGATGTAAAGCAAAACTAAACAAACTCAGATTTAAAAGGTTTATTAGCTCTGGCTATAAGAGTAAATAGTGTAATTGTCCGTTACAATATGAAGAAGTCATACTTGAAAGAAAAAGGTAAATTAATGTATTTTTGAACTTTTTACCACACATTTCTGATTTTCCCACAGTTAGTTTTAGCATACAGAAAATAAGAGAAATATAAAGTTTTACCAAAAAATGCTTTTGATATAAATTTAGGAAGTTCTAGATGTCATGTAAAATCTTTAATAAAAATACTGGTTTCTTGTGTACAACAGACCTGTAACATTTTTAAAAAGCTTGCTTGATTTCATGAAGATATACTTATTACATTAGGAGTTATAGTTTGTATAATTCCTTACATACTGATTAGATGGTCAGTCAAAATTACCAAGCCTGATTTCAGAGAGTTAAAAGGAGTTAGAAGAGAGAAGACAGTATGTTAAGACTAAAGCAGATTAATTTTAAGACCAAGCTACAATTTGGTAGTAATGGTTATGGTTGAGCCTCCTTACATACATTTTCCTGAAAGTTGAACAGAATGTGACAATTAATTTTAAGATTACAAACAAGCATGCTTTTATAAACTGATACACTGATTTTTATACCACAAAACTTGCCTACTCAGTCTTCATCACATAAATGCAGCAATTTACATGATGAAGATACACATGAATGTAAAAGAATTGGGTATGAAAGCAATAAATATAAGTGAGAGAAATATACGAAAGATATTTAAAATGCTTGTGAAGAGAAATTGGAGGTTATGTGTAAGAATAAAATAAAGGACACTGTAATGCTTTCTTGAGCAGATGAAAGAAATAAGTCATAATTCCAAAAAAACACTTTAATATGATACAACAGCAGTGATGATTCTAGAGTAGGTGGGGGGCATCATACATATTTTTTGATCTGCTTTTGAAGAAAACAATATAGGTTAAAAACAAACCTGTATGTCTAAAGCTGTTTTAAAATATAAAGTGAACAGTTTAAAACATTTCAAAGGCTTAGAGGAAAAAAACAATAGTGAGTCGTTTAAGTAAACAAGAAAGGAATGACAATCATATATATTCTCAAATATTACTTACTTCATTACATGGTTCTAGATATACTAAACGACCCCGTTTAGTTGGAAGGTTAATAATTTCACTTGTCAAACAGGACAAACTTAGTTTTGGACACTGAGAGAGATTCAGTCGAATTAACATAGGACAGCTCCGTAGATATATTCGTTTCAAAATTCTGCAAGCATTCACTAGTATTAAAAAAATAAAAAATTGGTAAATATTAAAGTCAATGAGTAATGAACATAAAGAGTATGCAGTTTTGTTATAAACATGTATTCATTGATTAAAAACACATCTCCATTTTCAAATTAATAAATAATATTACAATGTCATGCTTCAAATTCTTTAATGTTTGCTGTTTAACTCTTTGAACCTGTAAATTTTTGCATGTTCTGCCACTGATCTGAAATTTGTTCCAAAACAGACGACAATGCTTCACAGAATTTCCGATCTATTTATAAAAGGTGGATAACAACAAGGTTTGAATTAGTTTTCAGCCAAAGATACATAAACGTTATTGGACGTTGTCACTGTCCAATGGGTAAATTGAGATTTTTGGCTGGACACTGATAGCATCTGCTTGGGTTTAAGGAATTAAAAGTCTGTATTTTTTTCAACATACATGCACACACTGAAAGAAATAGCTGACAAAAACCCACAAACATTAATTATTCACTCTGTAGAGACCTTATTCTCACACTTCTATTTACACCTTCATTACTTTACAGACATGTTTGAATTAAAACTTTTGAGTTCTGTAGTTTGGTTTTGTAAGTATAAAAACTTAAAAGAAACAAGTTTAAACTTCAGATTTTAAAAATTATCTGTAAGTTTGATACAATATACATGTATACATTTTTGGCTAATAATTTTTGTTGTATCTTATAATCTCCATCACATGTAGTCAAGAAAAACAATCTTTTAAAAATTTCTTATAATAAATCTTATCAAAATGTTCTTTTTTTATTTCATAAACAGTTAAAGCTGATAAAAGTAGACATACTGGACTATTTAATGACATTGTAGACATTTTCTTTTTTTATATTCATGCTGAGATTGTGTGTGTGTGTGTGACAAACAAAGAGTTGTACACTGTTTCTGACTTGAATGAAATGAAAAACAAAACAAAAATGACTTAGATGAGGAAATTCACTATTGACATAAACATACGAGATATAAGTTTGTAGAATACTGTAAACACATTAAAAACAAATTGCCAATTTTGTTGTTGTTGACAGAAGTACTTATCTTTATTATACCTTCACTCAAGTCAAATATCAATGAAATTCTCCCACAGGGGCATCTTTTGATGTAGTTGTTTCTACATAACTTACCTTCTAAATGTAACAGTCGAGGACACAAATCCATAATAATGTCAGATATTCCACACGATACTACTGTCAAACTGTGTAATGTTTCAGACACTACTCGGAAAATCTTAAAAAAAAAACAACAGAGGAGTAAGCCCAGTATTAAGACTACCTTCTCAATTTCAAATATTTTGCGTACAAAAAATATTTAACAAGTTGAAAATTCTTAGAAATACCACAAATTATAGCATTAATTTATAATGCTTTGTGTACAAGCTGAGCAGGACTTGCTCAATTTTAATACAAAAAATCTTATTAAAGTTAATTTAAAAACTCAGAGAAAATTAAAAAAATAACTAGTTACTCAAATAATGTGAATTGATATTATTAATCTCATGATTTTTAATTACTACACAATAAATTAAATGCATAGAAATGTTAACCTCAAAACTTCAAATTAGGGCTAGTTTAATTTGGAAAAAAGTAAATATAATAACAGTTTCCTATAGCTTGCTGTGAAACTATGTAAAAGGCATTTAGACAAAATCCAGATGATACAGTATACTATTATTCATCAGCTTTGGTAAGTTTTCAGTCTAAGGTGAAACACAATGTGGTATTTAAATCAGAGAAGTTTAGTTCATAACGTTCTGATGTGTAACTTCTATGAGCAAAGCAACTGTGGCTGACAGAACATGAAACTGTAGACTTATTCCATAAAGTTATCATCTAAACATTGTGCTCACAGATTAGATACGTATAGTACACACTTTCAAGTCAGTAAGTTAATAACACATTTTGGTCAGAAAAAGAAATAGGCATAACACGATAATACAAATTTGTTTTCATATTTACATATTTAATTATGATGCAATAAAATTAAAATTTAATTTATTTGAAAAAAATGTAATAAAACTATAACCTAGATAAGAAAGAAAACATTGAAAATAAGATCCAACAACGCTGTAGTGCTACATTCACAATAAAATGCATACTTACTATATAATTTGACCCTTAACAGTGGTATTGGTATGCTTTCCGTATGTGCATGTTTTCAAAACAAAAGGAAACGTATACATTTCATATTTAGGGTATGCCTCAATTACTATGGTAGATTAATTATTTAAATACTTTGTACTGATTAAATGGGATGTATTTTCTAATAAAGTATTCTATACTTCCATGCATTTTTTTTTCTATGCTAATTAAGTTTGATTTATAATTTATATACTGTAAAGTAGGGTGAATCTTTCACTTTTGGTTCTGACCAGTTTCAGTTACTGCTCACACTCCTTTAACAAGTACATTTTCTCTAGAAAGTTCCTGATAATCTAAGGTGATGGGGACCAAATAGATCTACGTTCCAAAAAACACTTAAAGAAAGAATACATAACAATGGTTACACTGTTATCTAAGATTATCCAGTTCTGAATGATTTTATAAAGTAACTGTATTACACTTCACCACTACATGGCAAAATTATCTTAGTATTCATGAAAAACAAACACATGGATTATTAAAGCTTGGCATATTTAGATATGTTACAAAATAAATTATCAAACTAAAGTTTACAGAATTTATCTTGGTAATCTGAAACCAAAAATTTACATATAATTTATATCTACGACTTAAAAAGATCATAAAATATCAGGCTATTTAGAATTACAGACGAAAATTAAATAAAAATTAGAAAGATTTGTTTTTGTACAGCACCAAGCTACACAATGGGCTACCTGAGCCGTGCCCACCATGGATATTAAAACCTCATTTTTAGCATCACAAGACCACTGACTTACCACTGAGCCAACAGAGGACAAGTAGAAATAATTTATGTAATTGGCTCATGATATAATAGGAGAAAAACCAATCTTTGTTAATAACATACAGTGTTAAAGTTCATACTGCTAATCCTTTTGGTATTCTTTACAGACACATTTTATTTGAATTAAGATAATGCTCTGTTCCTTTTGAGGCTAATAAACATGTTTCAAGCTTACTGAATACAAATTTTCCCATATTCATGTAGATGCACTGTCTACTGGTAGCTTATAAGTTAATCTATCATTTTAAACGTATATATATTACTCAATCACTTGATTTTTACACTTACCAAAACCGGGTCATCTTCTAGAAGGGGGTCACTGGTACTTGTGGCTTTATCTGCACAGTTTGGTTTCTCCCCCTTACTTTTTGAAACTGGAGGGTCACACTGCTTACGTTTTGTGGCTCTTGTCACTCGGGAGCCCCTTTGAGTAAGTGAATAGAAATTTTAAATCGGAAGCAATCCAAAATGCATAACACTGCAGCAAACAACATAACGGATATCCTACACACATGAACTGACTGCAAATTGAACTTCAAACCTTAATGTTTCTTAAAAGGTTAACTAAACATTTAAACCGTTTTAATATTAGTTTTTCATTTTCTAAATCTTTTAAAAATGACAAATATTCTTATAGTCCTATTTTTTTTAAATATCAAACTCTGAAAGTGAGAAATCCTAGGTAAACTATAAAAAATGGTTTACACAGTTATATACATTGTATCAAAATGTATAACACTTTCAGTCTCTCCTGTATTTTAATCAAACATACAAAATAAAGTTTTTGTAAAGTTTTCACTAGTTTTAAGCAGTGTGTGTGTGAGCGCGCAATGCTATGATTGTCACTGTGGTATATGTACCACTGGCTTAAATTACAAAATGCATTTCAGTATATGTGTGTGTGGTCTAAGAAGCCAAAGTGTTCAACACTTAAGCGAAACCAAATAGTCCTTATATTATTCAACAAGGTTATTTATACATCATTCTTTTAATACTAAATGTAACTCTATTCTCTAAACATGTGGTTTAATATGTCTAAACACTTATTTTATTAGCTATTGGATTTCCATTTCAATAGAATTTTTTTTTCTCTATTTTGACCTAGCTGCACATCTTTCTTGAGTAATGTATATATTCATTAACTCTAGAATAACTAGTGTGTACTTCATCAGATCTTTATATGCATCTTTCTAAATTATTTATAGCCAAAATTACTTGTGGGTTCATGACTTTGCTGGTTAGAGGCATCAGAACCAGGGGTGCTATAGCACCCCACTTTTACATATTTGGCTTATATAGCAACTGTAAATTAAATTACATTAATTACACTGAAACTACAAAAATGTTTAAATTCTTTCAAGGGATATATTCATCAGTTTTTGATAAAAACATATTTTTTTAACATTTATTTAATGGTGGCTTTCAAGTAGATTAACCTTCAGTGAATTACACAAACAAACTTCATTTTCAGTCTGTTACTCATAAAAACAGTGAAGTGTATTACAAGAAGACATACCTGAGTGTGCTGGTTGAATGTTGGGTTGGTCTTATAATCCTAAACCCATCACTAGTGATATTACTTCCTGTTGCACCGCTTCTTCCTGGTGCTTGTCTAATACTCTCGCTACTAGCCTGACAAGCTACATCATGAAGCCTGACTGTACCGGTGTCAGACATTTTTCGCTTCCTCTGCCTTGTCATGGGACCTTCAAAAAATGAGCTATCATTTTTTTGAGTAGGTGGTAATTTTTGTTTTCTCTTGTTTCTGGAAGACTTGGGTTTTTGTGTAAAATCTTTTATGTTTGGAATTTTTACGGAGAAAGAATTGGTAGAAACATCTGCAACCTGCAGGTTTGAAGAAGCTTCACTAACACATGAACGCGACTGCCTGGAGGTTGAACTACGTGTAGAAAGGACTACACAAGACTTGGCAGATTTACCTGAATCAAGACTAGAGTAAGATCCTGCAGTAGAAGTATAGGTTTGGTCATTATTATCCACGTTCTCGTTTTGGTTATCCGCAGCAAGTTTTCTTTTTCTACGTCTTACAGAAGAGCATCCAGTCTCTTGATTATCTACAAAAGCATTTTTCCTGTCCACAAAGTTTTCTGTTGCTTTATGATTACTGAAAGATGAATAATCTTGTTCTTGTATACCTGTACAGTTGTTTGGAGTTATGGATGTTCTACTACAACTTGGGACACATGGTGGATCATGAGAATTACTATCGCTACAGTCATTCCAGTCTACAGGACCAGCTAATTCCTGCGAACTTTCTCCTAATTTATTATTTGTGCTTCTACATTTTTCATACTTTGAATTAAAAGAGGTAGAAGCATCTAAACTTGAAACATTTAAAGTCTCTAAATTCTGTTTGGGCAACTCACTGAAACTACATGCTTGACTAGTTTCAGGCTGATGCATTGGAGAAACTTGAGGGACACCACAGGATGCCAAATATCTGGTTTTTCTATTTGTACTAGAAATACTTTTTGTAGAATTATGTTCTTCAGCTTCTGATATAAAGGAGCCATACTGTTGTCTACCATCACAACAAGACGTATTTGCTATTGTTTTATTTTTATCTGTAGAAAGCAACTTTTCCTTAGTAAATTCTTCTTTTGCCTCAGGTGAAATTTTCTTTTTACTCGGAGTTCTACCGTGACTTTTTTTCTGTGAAAATTCACCAGAAACCAATACCGAGCTACTTTCTGCCACTTTCATATCTTTATGCTGTGCATTAGGAGAGGATTTCATCGGAGTTGGGTTCTGCTCCTGAACAGCATGGCCACTTGATGTCTTTCGAGAGGATCTCTTTCCTTTTGATGACAGATAATTAGAAGGTACATTAGACTTAGGCTTTTCTCCAACTGATGTGCTTTCATTTGATGCAAAGCCTTCTTGAGTTGTTGATGGAGGTTTTTTGAAGTCATTGTGAACTTCTAATTCTCTAGTATCTTTGGAAGATGTAGATCCTAGCAAGAGAGGGTAAGATTCCCTAGATGGTCCAGGTATAGCTAGCCACTGGTCATCTTGCACCTTTGAATTATCTTGATTTATTTTAAAGTTAGAATTCTGTTCTTTAGTTTGAAGCTGCCTACTCACACTTTGCTGGGACATCCCATTATAATGTTCAGTCTCGGGATGTGTATTCATATGTTTGGAAGTTTCTGGCAAATGTGGATGTGAAACTTCATTACCATCTATTATATGATTCTGAGACTTGTAGGCTCCGGTAAAGTTTTCTTTCCCTTCATTATGATCTGCTTGTTGATGGTGGTGATTTTGAGCAGAAAACTGCATACAAATATTTTCAGTGGCACCAGCTGCGTGTGCTTGTGATGCTCCGTTCACGACATGGTGTTGTGATACTTCTGCACTGTGATACCAGAACCTTTCAGTAACACCATTATTTGCAGGTTCTTCAGCAACTCCATCAACAGCAGGCTGGGCACCATTTCCTGAGTCCATTTCTCTTCTGTCTTCATTTAACCACACATTGATGAGGTGAGCTTCGTCATTATTAGCTTGTGGTTCGGGGGCAAAGTTATTTTCATGGATTTCTTCTGGAAGAACATTATTAGCATTTGGGTTTACTTGTGGAACTGCCTGCCTATGCTCTTCCCCTGGTTGATTATCATCTGCCTGTAGTGGTCTGTCCTCAAGTCCATCTTGTTCTGCCTGAACATTAACTTCATCTTCCTGGTTGCTCATCACTGCTGAAGACATTCCAAGACCTGTGCCTGCACTCAGTCCAACATGGTTACAACCTTTAGGAGGCTCTCGAAACATGTCTTCCAGAAATACAGTTTCAATGGCAGGGAGCAGAGCCAGAAAGAGAGCAAAAGAAAGCAGTCGAAGGCAATGACATCTCCTAAGGATCAAGTCTGTTAAGTTTGTCCAGTTCTGACCATCTGTAAAGATATTTTTGAGTTTATATTCTGCATACCTCTTTTAGTTTTATACAAGAATTGAAGGTCTTACATAGAAAAAAATAGCTGTAAAAATTATAACTTTTCAGAAATTGTTCAAATAACATTATTTTTTTTAAGATTTAATGTATTTGCCTTTGAAAAATATTTATGATTAACCAAGAGCTTTATCAAATCATGATTTTATTAAAATCAGTTAAATGTAGAGCAAGAAGATTTATGGAACTTGAAACATTATTATGTTGGTTTACATTCCACCCCACCAATTCATGTATAGCAGAGTTTCCCAAAGTGGGAGCTACAGCCCCAAGGGCCATGAAGCTTTTTCTGGGGGGGCTACTATGTTTTATTTTAGTTTGACTGTATATTAATTTGTTAATAAAATGCTTAATTCTACATTTTATAACTATTTCATGTTAATCTTAAAACTTCAATTACAGGATTGCTTCATATTTTAAAATGAAAATAAGATAACCTTACATAAAATTAAGTTTGTATTTAATTGCTCATCAGTCTACAAATTTAACCCAAACATAATAAATTGCTAAAGGTCTAATTATAATACATATAAGTTGATAAGAAAAGGCCACATTAAATTACAAACATACAATTTAATATAAAAAGTACTTCATATATATATATATATATCATTAAAGTTCATTAGTAATTATTTTTTAAAACTGACAAATCACATTTTACAGCATTTTTATAAGTTGGGGGCCTCAATCTTTTTTATTGACATCAAGAGAGCCTCAGACTAAAAGAGTTCGCGAGCCACTGACCTATGGTAAACAAAAAAGTGACCACAAACAAGATGCGTGTGTTTAAACTGTACATATTTTCAGTCCTTAAATATATTCCAAAAAGATTTTATGCAAATACTTATGTAATAAATAGTTCCTGTGTCTTTGATGGAGGCAGCTCATGGTATTTCATCAAGTTACTTTTTTGTGTCACGTATAGACATGTACAATTACATATAGTTTCAATGTAAATAAAGAAATAAAAAATCTTAGATATTCTTATTTTTGGTAACTTCGATAAACAAAAATTGTATTTTTTTTAAATGTTCATTATGCTCTAATGACATTTATAATGATGGAAATTGGGCTGATTTTGTATATTTTGAAATATAAGCTGTATAAACTTTCATACAAAGTTTACAAGTGTTTCTTGAATAGCTGACAACACAAGTCTATCACCAGATAAGAGATGACAACATAAAGGAAAACAGCAGCATCCATTTTTTCTTTGACATAACTAAAAGACTATTATAGTATTTTGCCACTTGTGTATAAATTTAAAATCATAAATAATATTCAACGTTAAACTGGTACACAATTAAAA